TTTAACAGACACCAGTGCGCACAGAAACCCCAAATCATAAAAAATACATATATGCATTGATTCACATATGCACTCATACAGCCCAATATACAAATACACTCACAATGATTGATTTACGGCACCTGAAGTATGAGTTGCAACCGAAATCATTATAATTTTCATAATCGCTGCTAAGTGCGACTAAAATCGCGGAGCTTAAATCTAAATGGATGGTGGCGAAGAAACGCAGCATAAGACGATCACAAAACAAAAGTAAGAAATGCAAAACAAATGTAAAGTGGAAGATGTGGCATGGGATATGGCATAACTAATGTTTACTTGTGGCTTGCTTTGCATGCTTTTATTGGGCAAATTTTTTTTATTTGATCTTATTATAAAATTTGGATAAGAAAACACAAACAAGTCAAGTAAACAATGCCAGATATTTCACATCAACATGAATTCTGAAAACTAGAAGTAATTAAAAAAAATTAATTTATCAGGGGTCCTACAAGTCACTCATACGCACCACAATACCATTAAATCAATTTTACACAAAAAATGACACAAAAATTTTCACTTCATACTTCTAAATTGAATTTACCATTAAATTTTGCATAAAAATGAAACTTTCTAGGACGAAATAATTTTCAGAAGTATTTCTATTAAATAAATTAGTTTTGCTTAATCTCTTTTTTTAAATAACGAATTTGAAAATTTTAATATTACTCCCAATGACTCTAACAATAGCGATGAAGAAGATGACCCACATTAATTTTAAAGAATCAACAGAATAAATTTACAGGTATAGCAGATGGAACAATGAAAATAAAAATATTGGGTGTAATGCTTAATTGGACTTACTTCCTAAACGCTATAAAGTATATGATCACTGTTGCTAAAAAAATCGCTACATAAACATGATACTGAAACAGTTTTCAACTTTAACAAATGTAATGAAAACAGTCAAATAATGCCTAGCAATAAAGACTGCTTATCCATAAAAATTGATGAAAATGCAAAACCGACTTATTCTAAGTAAATTGAAAGAGCTGTATAATCTTTTCAAACTAAACCATCCAGACCTCAATTGTGGTTTTTCTAAATTCGCATCTCTACGACTACAGTATTGCGTTTTTACACGAACAAGTCGTATACATACACGTAAACGTAAAATTAATGATAAATGGAGTGTATACGAAATCACCGACTGCATATACTATAGATCCGTTAAGTTACTATAAAGATTACCTACACCACATGTTTCGAATAGTAACTGTTACATATAGAATGTTTTTCAAGAACTTACGCCAAATGTCCTTGAACTGAAACATCAATCAACAAGTTCTGGAAATCTTTGATGACAACAATATTGAAACTTTTACATATAAGTAATGGGTTCGTCAAGCTAGAACCACATTAAAGCCTTTGACATCTCCAGTTAAAGCATATTTGCAATCCTTAACGGACAGTTTAGACATATTGATGTTGCTTTCCTTTATCGTTAAAAAACATGCAAAATTTTTTGAAGAATACGGAAATCAACTTAGCAGAAAGTGAATGCATTGTTTTGTGTGGTTTCTCCAAATATTATGCTTTTCTGATTCAATACTCTGTGCTAGACATTTTGTGGTATAATGATCAGGCAATAATATATCCGTTTGCAATATAATACCATGATGAAAATGAACAACTATATATAAAAACTTTTGTCTGCATAATTGATCGTTTACATCATAAGTCAATTACCGTACATTTATTTCAAAAATACGCTGTTAAGTTCATTAAAAGAATTGAATTCAATTAAAAGAATATTTATCCGATGGATCGGGATCACAACATAAAAATAAAAAGAATTCTATTAATATAACTCTTCGCAAAGCGAACTTTGGTTTAAAGGCAACACGACGTTTTTTCACAAGTTCACACGGCAAAGGACCTTCCGACGGCTTAGCTAGAACCTTAAAGAAGAATGCCTAAAGAACTAGCCTTCAACGAATACATAATCTAATCCAAACACCGAAGGAGTTATTTAACTGGGTTAAGAAATGTTTGCCAAATATTGTGTGCCATTTCTCAACATTAAGAGACTACGTAGCAGAAGAAGTTACCACTAAATACCGCTTCGAAACAACTACATCAATTAATTGACATTAAAATATCACTGTTTTATTCCCAATCCGAAAAAATTATTATTGGCAAAAATATTTTCTTCTTCAGACATTACAGATTATGTATCAATAATTAAATGAGTATTAATAAAATCAATGTTAAAACCATTAAAAAATATTTGTGACATATTTCTTTTTTATTTTTTTTACTGAAAAATCGTGTGCATGTGTTTGGTGTTATGTGAGGGATAAATAAATTTTATAAAAGTATTACTAAGGAAAATATCGTCTTGAAATTTTTGAGTTTTATGTAAAATTTAATTATTAATCGAAATCAGAAATATTATATAAGAATATTTATAGCATATTCTTTAAAAATTCATTCAATGGAAATATAGTACGCATGTGCTTGATGTGTTTTGCGGGAAACAAAAAACATTTTGAAAAATTGCAAAAAATAACATTACCCTAAATATTTTTATTTTGCAGTAAAATTAAAAACTAAATCTAAATAAAACGTAAAAAATGAAAAAAAAAAGGAAAACAATTTTTTTTTTTTTTTGAAATTCAGCGGTTAATTTAACGGTTAGTACTTAAATATTTACAATTTTAATTGGTTGAACAATTTCTTAAAAGTTCAATCAATTATCTTTAAAACGCAATAAAATTAAAGTTTATATAGCGGGAGGTATGGCCATTAGAAAATGTGTTTACAATGCCAATTCTTAAAACCCCATGAGCAAAAAAATTACAAAATTTTTTCCCGAAATACGGGTCTTCTTATATTATGAAAGAAGCTTATTTTGCACTGACTAAATATATATAATCTATTAGAGGTTTTAGTATTTTAAAAGAAAATTTTTCGAATCAAGAAAGAAAAATAAATAAATAGACAATTTGTAAACAAAAATCGTGCTGCAATAGAACATAAGTATGTTTTCTTAAAAGCTTAAAGGCTTGCTTGTCGCACACTATAAATGAAGTGCATATGGACTATTATTTAATATTCAGAATTTCATTTAATATAATATAAGTATTTGGAAGGAGGTTGAAAAAGCCGTAACTATGCTGAGGGCGATTAACATTTAAATATGTTTAGCATGGTTACGGCTTTTTCCATATCGGTTGGGAATTTGGTTTCAAGTCCATTGGATAATATTTAGGTGTGTTGAAAATGGGGTTTTTTAAAATTAATTTATTATTATCTTAACTATTACAGCAAATTTTTTAAAGTTTTTTTAATATCTAAAAATTTTGTTTATATTTAAAAATAATGTGAAACAAATGTAGTATCCAAAAGCAAAACAGCAGGGTCAGAGTTAATAATTTAATAATAAAAACATCATCTTTTATATATAAAAACATAATTTTCGCACATTAAAATATTATAATTGTAATATATTTTATACATTTTTGCCAATTTTTAATGTGAAATGCTTTATTTACATATATGTAATAATAGCTAAACTATCTGCGATTTTCATCCTTTAAATGAGTTTTCTTTTTTGTTTTTTGGAAAGATTTAACGGTATTTGTGCGCGCTTGTCAGCAGACGCAGTCATACGGACGCATTAGTAAAAATCGCAAAACCGCTTAGAGAATTACGCGCAATAAGCAACAAAATCGGCTTCCAAGTCTTGCCACCGCAACACCGAAAAAGAACGAAAAACAGAAAATATTTTGAAATCAGCTTTCATAATTTTGTTAACATGTGCAGCGCAGTGGAGTTGCATATCAGTGATGCATGTGCCTATGCATGTATACATGTGCCAGTGTGTGACATGGATGTGAATTTGATGAGCACATTGTACAGCTTATTTCATTATATTGTTGCATAATATTGTGTTAACATGCTTTCCATTTGGCTTGATTAAGTGTAGAGGCAATGAGCTGAGATGTACTCTGCCACAACGCAGATAGAACACCAGTTCCGGTGGCAGAGAGAACAATTATGCATTGCTACACTGGTACTTTGATGGTGCATTGGTATACTACTTGTATTATTTAAGCTTGAGCCACTGGTACTGGAACACGATGTTTGTAAACATGCTAATTCGTGTTGCGATTTGATGTGCTTTGTATGATTTTATTGATGTAGCTTTCACGTTGCCGAAATAGAATTTGATTGTCACATTGTGTATTTGCATTTTAATATGCATAACAAACTTTGATTGCCGCTGACAGCTCAAATTTGTTGCAATTAAGTTCAATTATTGTTCGCAGTTGATTTGGCTTCAAATTATTATATAATAATCGTTAGACGAAAATTAATAATTAAACTTCAAACATGATTATCGTTTAAAGTCAATTTTCAGTTGTCAAATTTCGATAACGATGGACACACATCGTTCGCCTACCCAAACAAAACTATTAGTATCTGATGTGGCCGCATAATAGTACCATTCATAGATTATGAAAGTGCACAAAATACAGTAAAAACTCTTATTAGCAACAATAAACGAGACCAAAAATGTTGCTCTGGAACAACGGAAAAGAACAGACATACTTTGTATGAAATCTGAAAACTGGTGTAATGTAACTTTTACCGCTTGAGGGTGAAGTCAGTTTAATTCAGAAGTTTAAATTTTCACTGTTGATCGAAAACTATTTAATTTAATAGTTTTTTCTATTCTCTTTGATTTTATATAAATCCAAACGCACCTTTTGCTTGAGTAGTTCACATACCACTGACTTTTATTCTTCAAACATATTATTAACAATAGCAAACAAAAACAAAACAAATGAAAAGCTGCGGCTATTCAAAGCTTTTTTGTTAGTTGTAAATACATATTAAATAATTGAAATTAAAGTATAAGTATAAAAATAAGTATAAGTATAAGAGAAAAACTAATTTAACATACATAACATAACATTAACTTAACATACCGGCCCCCATTGAGACCGTCAGGTTCAATTAATTGGTAATACAGCTAGCTTCGTAATTGGCCGCCGAAACACTGCATGCTGAGTCTGAACATCTGCCACACGTACGTGTCCGTCAGACCCGGAATTAACCTTTACTACTCGGCCTGTTAACCAATGCATCGGCGGTAAATTGTCTTCAGCAATCAATACTAAATCGCCTATTTGAACGTTATCGTTTGGCTTTTTCCACCGGTATCGCTGTTGTAATTCCTTTATATACTTATGTTGCCGTCGTTTCCAAAATGCTCCTTTTGCTGCCGTTATCCGATGCCATCTTTGAATATTTGATATGTCATTTTCTAATTGAGCACGCTCAGGCAAGCTTCTGAGCGGACATCCAATGAGAAAATGACCAGGAGTAAGGACTTCCAAGTCATTGGGATCAGTAGATGCCGCACTGAGAGGACGTGAATTCATGACTGCTTCTATCTCCGCTAAAGCAGTTGTCAACTCCTCAAACGTCATTTTTGTCCCATGCAACGTCCGGAACAGATGTGATTTGGCTATTTTAACTGCCGCCTCCCACAGTCCCCCAAAATGCGGAGCTCTAGGAGGAATGAAGCAAAATTGAATGGCATTAGATATGCAAAAATTATTAATATTTGATATGTAATTTGCATCATAAAAATCATGCTGAAACTCTTTCAGCTTTTTCTCCGCGCCTACAAAATTAGTGGCATTATCACAATAAATTTTTGTTGGTATGCCACGTCGACTAATGAAACGTTTTAAGGCAGCAATGAACGCATCACTCGATAGGCCGGAAACTGCTTCAAGATGCACAGCCTTCGAAGGAAAACAAATGAATACAGCGATGTATGATTTATATGGGACCTTTCCCCGGATCTTAAGATACGTTGGGATCGGTCCGGCAAAATCAATTCCTGTAAATGTAAATGGTCTATTTGCTGTTACCCGATCTGCCGGTAGATTGCCCATTATTTGCGTTGATAATCTAGGTTTGTAACGGAAGCAGTGTGTGCACTGGTTTACCACTGTTCGAGCCAATGATCGGCAATTTGTAATCCAAAATTGTTGTTGTATGAGAGCAACAAGTGCACGTGGACCAGCGTGATAATTAATTCGATGTATATGCATGACCATCAGCTTAACAAATTGGTCCTCTTTTGGTAATAGAAGTAGAAGGTGAGATGTTGGCATTCTTCAAACGACCACCTACCCTCATTAAAGTAAGGCTGCCAGATGTTTCTAGGAATGGAGCCAATAAGGCTAATTTACTCCGTAGCTGCTTTGAGTTGTGTAAAAGTACTATATCCTTGTGAAAATAGTGTTGTTCAATAAGATATACAATATGCAACAGAGCGCGTTGTATTTCATCTACCACGAATAATGATTGAATTGGTGCCATCTTAGCATCAGCGCAACCACACGTAGACATTTGTTATAATTACTTATCTGATGAAGTCTCTGTAGCAAATACGGAGGCTTGACATCTTCCAAAATGCACACTAGTTTGCGAGTTTCTAACTTGCGTTCGTCAACTGTTAGTTGATTTATTGAATGTTCTGGCCAGTTTGGCAGCGGCAACATTAAAAATGAAGGTCCTTTGAACCAATTTGATGACAGTAATTCTGGGACGGTACACCCTCTAGAAACGAGATCAGCTGGATTTTGATCGGTTGGTACATGGCGCCAAAATGCATTTACCGACCATTCTTGAACGTCAGCAACTCGATTACCAACAAAGGTCGCTAGTGTTGAAGAATGAGAACTAATCCAATGTAAAGTAATCTGTGAATCAGACCAAAAGTATATGTTATTAATATAATATAATAAATTAGCTTTAATCTTGTTCCAGCATCCAGCAAGAAGATGGGCGGCACACAATTCAAGACGTGGTAATGATCTTGTTTTCACAGGAGCAACTCGGGATTTGGAAGTTAGTAAATGAACGCTAACATTGCCAAAATTATCTTGACAACGTAGATAGATACAACATCCGTATGCTCTAATTGATGCGTCGCTGAAGCCATGTACTTGCATGTTAATTGAGTTCTTGATTCGAGTGAACCTAGGTGTTAAGTTTTATATTAACTTTATTATAAAAATCAATTGTATCAATTATTGTAATTGCATTATTATTATTATATTAATTATATGTATACATAAGTACTTTAAATTAGCTTCTTATGTTGTTTTTGTTGTTGGTTTTATTTGTGTTATCAAATATTTTTAGCAATGTTGCTGGCTCTCACAACTAAATATTCGCACGCTAGCAGCGTGCCAGACGTAACATGATCATCTTCACACGCCACTGTGCAAGGTTGATAAGCATTATGTTCATTTTCTTTTATCGTGTGTTCGTTGTGAGTTGCAGCAATAGGCAAACCGCTGCGACAATTCTGTTGTTCCCACAGGTGCAATATGAGTTGGCGCATGGCTTCAGTGATAACACATTTAAGTCACCAAATTTGTGAAGCAGGTTGATATATGGCAAAATACATATATCAGCTTGCTGGTTGCATTAAATAGTATAAGCATAGGTAATGCACATATTTCCCACGAATGCCCTTGGCCTTGAATGTTCAAAGTCCATCGGATAACAAATCGTGGGAACTAGGTGCATTTCCTCCTTTACCATACCAGCTTAGTGTTAAGAATTTTGTATAAAAGCACAACATTTTTAATAAACATCTAATTCAATTTCAAACCCTGAATTCAACCAAGTGTTTTCTTTTGGTTTAAGTGCCTAAAAGAACCTTGAGCAAAGTCGGTTTATGTGCCGAATTTGAAAATCAATAAATAATAAAATAAATAAATAAATACCTATATATATATTCACATATATATATAGCTATTTATAAATTACGTAACTGGTTCATGTGCCGGATTGCGTAAATGAATTACTAAGCTGGTTAAAGTGCCGGATTAGTGAATCCGTATCAGACTAGGTACGGAGGATAACATAAAGAGTAAAGCTAAGCTGGTTCAAGTGCCGGATTAGCTAAAATCTGTATCAGACTAGATATAGATCATAACACTAGGAATTTTAAGAAGTACCACTTGATGCAAATCAGCAAGAATTTTGTTCCATGTTGTGTAAATTTCTTGAGGTACGGATTCATCCCAATCACATCCAATTATCCATAGTTGCTGTAACAAAATCTTAGCTTTGATGATAAGTGGACTAATTAGACCCAAAGGATCATATAAAGATGATGCTAATGACAAAATGTTTCGTTTAGTATGACTTGCTGGTACATTGGTTGATTGAAAAGTGAAGCAAAAATAGTCTTCTTTCGTATTCCATAACATTCCAAGTGGGCATGCCATATCTCTTGCAGTCTCAATATCTGTAAGTTTAACATTTGGTGCAGTGATGTTAAAATTGTTACTATTCCACTTTGTTAACGATAAGTTGTAAAAATCCAATATTTCGGTAGTTTCATTTTTGATGGCTTGCAATGTCTCCAAGTCATCTACTCCTGAGATCATGTCATCGACATAAAAATTACTTTTTAATATCATTTTGCCTGTTTCCTTACGGTAAGGATAGTTATCTGCAATGTAGTGTAAGCACCGAGTTGCAAGAAATGGCGCAGAACTCGTACCATATGTAACAGTATTCAGTTGATAAACTAAAATATTTTGCGATTTATGCTCACGCCACAAAATTAGTTGAAAATTGCGATCATTTGGATGTAGCCAAAATTGTCTATACATTATTGTTATGTCAGCCGTTATTCCATATTGATGTAATCGAAATCTTAATAATGTTATTACAAGTTCATTTTGGATTGTAGGGCCCACCATTAATAACTCATTTAATGACACTTGTGATGATGTACGAGCTGAAGCATTAAAAACTACACGTAATTTAGTAGTTGTGCTATCTGGTTTAATTACATAATGATGTGGGATAAAATAATCCAGCTGAACAAAGTTTTTTGTAAAGTCGGTAAATTCTCACCAAGTTTTATTTGGCCTACTGCTAGCAGTGAAAAGAAAGCTTCTGCACCAAGTAACATATCAATTTTTTGGCGTTTGGAAAATGTCGGATCAGCTAATTGAAGATTTTCAGGAATTTGCAACTCTTCTAACGACAGTGTTTCATTAGGGTGATATCCAGAAATTCTTTTGGTAACGAGAAACTCAAGTACTGCTTCAAAACTGTTTAACCTTGAACGTATCGTACTTATAGTTTTGTGTTTAATATTTATTGATGCAGCTCCTGCACCAACAAGACTGTTTTCACTTCGTGACTTTTTTAGATGAAGTGCATTACACATCGATTCCGATATTAAATTGACCTGCGAGCATGAATCTAATAACACTCTACAGAGTTGAAAAGTACCAGATGCATCTTTAACTAACACCATTGCTGTTGCCAAAAGCACCACTGATTTTACCCGAGCAGAAGTTTCGTCTGGAACTAGTGTACTAGTGTGTACATGACTTAGAGGTAATATTGTTTGCTCACATAAAGGTTCCATATTAGATGATGCACCAGTATTATGTAAAAGTGAATGATGTCGTTTTTTGCACATTCGGCATGAATACGTTGATGGACAATGTGTGCTAATGTGATCTTTCCGGAGACAATTAAAGCATAGTTGGATTTGCTTCGCCTGTTGACATCGATTTTCAATTGATGGAGCTAAAAAATTTGGACAATTAGTAATATAATGACCAGGTTTTAAACAATATACACAATGAATCTGACTTGTAGACTTTTGTTTCGTCATTAAGATGTGCTTGAAAGGTTTACGAACACTAGTATGCTGCAACTCTTGGTTGATTGTAGCCTTTGGCTTGGCCTTTGCTAGTACCATTAATTGTTGACATCGCCTGTCAAGCATCTTGCAACATTCCAGCCAAGTTGGTAGTTTCGTATAGTCGTGACATTCATTCCATTTACGTTTCGTCTCACTATCCACTTTCATCATCACCAAATGAATCATGATTGCATCACATATCTGTTCGTGTGATCCCAGTGACTTAAGCGAACTATATAAAGCCGAAATGTTGTCCACTAATTGGCGAAGTTGAGTTGAATCAGGCTTAATACATTGTGGTTCATCAAAAAGTGTTGCAATGCCTTCCAGAAATATGAGAGGGTCATTGTCTTATCGCTCTTTGAGTCTTTGGAGAGCCTTCGGATAGTTGTCTTCCGTTATCTAGAACGCCTTTACTGTAGCTAACGCTTCGCCTTGAAGACACGATAACAAATGGTTGAATTTTTCAGTTGATGTCAAGAGCGAATCACTATCTACAAGGTTTTGAAAAATATGTATAAAATTTTTGAATTCAAGATATTTGCCGTCAAACTTAGGCAACTTTAAATGTGGCAATCTGTTTGACGGCAGCTGCGGTAACGAGAAAGTTTGCTCATGGTAGCTTTGTCTCCTCCGTCCATCAACTAATGACAATATTAAACATTTTGTACTTACGTACAGCTCATCGATGTCAGAGCGCGCTGAATCTGTAGAACAATATCGCTCTATCTGATTCTGGTAGTAAGATACCTGCTTATAATATGCATCTAGCATCCCAAGTCTACACTCCAATTCCGTTGACGATAAAGTTTTGTTGTTCTCAACAATATTTTTAATTCGCGTTATACTGCCTTTTGTAGATGCTCGCTGCTGTTTTAATTCTTCTAATGAAGGCAATGGCGGCAGAGAATTTGACGCTGCAGTCGAATTGTTTTCGGCAGCGCGGCTCGCTGCTGCATTATTAGAATTTTGCATCACCGAAAGCAAATGCAAAACCGAAAATAAAACAAAAAAAAAAAACCAACTAATGTTATGAAGGTTAATAACCTGAATGATTGTCAAGGTTATTGTAAAATTGAACAACTGTTGTTTATTTTTAAGTTTTAAACAATTACTGATGTAAGAACTATTATTTTTAATATTAATTTGAAACACCTTTAGTCTTTATTTATATCAAGTCTTTAATGTAAATTGAATTTAATTTGAAACACTTTTGATAGTTAATTTATCTTAAGTCTTTAAAATAAATTTAAGTTAATTTCAAACACTTGTTTCTAGGAACACTACGGTCGTGTCCTGTCACGGTCGCCAATGATCGAAAACTATTTAATTTAATAGTTTTTTCTATTCTCTTTGATTTTA